ATTATAATCAACACAAAAAAATTGGGTGTTTCATAGTCTTTGGTATTGCTAATCAGTCAATCGGCTTTTTTAGTTGATTCAGTTCAACAAGCGACTAGTGCTATCATTTTTATAAGAAAACGAGAATATCAACAAGATAAAAAATATGCATATTTAGCATAACCGTGTGTTGTTATCTATTGAATATTGCAGGTAAAAAGTCGCATGACCATGTCACTTTTGAGTCGGAAATTGTTTTACGCTGTTAAACCGTCGTACGGGGCTCTACTTCAATTGTCAAAAATTAAAACCTTCTCGAAACAATAAACTTGATTAATTTATAGAATAATAAAGCTTTGAAGTCAAATTTTACGATAACAACGTTGTTTAAACTGTTTACATGTGGTTTACCAAAAATACTAAATAGTTGATAGTACGAACGTAACCATACAAAAGTTGTAGTGTACAGTATTATGTAACATCAAATCTAATGCTTTACAGTTAGAGCAAGATCGTTAGATTATGTGACACTTAGAAATATTAAATATTTTTCCAAATAGTGATGCTTGATTTTTCTGAGAAACAGTATACTATATTACAGTACAATTAATCTCTTCCAACACACAAAAAAAGCACTTCTATATTTTTTTTGCGTAAAATCTCTCTTATTATTGCTGTAAAATCGCTTGTTACTCTAACTAGTTAGTTATACAATTTCAATCGATTCATGTGTGCGATAAGTCACGCGCTTTTTTTTTATAGTTTGCCAAGCTTACGTTATCGGTAGTATTACAAACAGATAAATATTAAATACAAAAAAATAAAACTAATTTAAGCCCTAATTAAAAGCAAAGTCAATATCTATTCTGCAAATATATACTTACCTGAGTTTTAGTATACTATAATAGCATAAACTTTGGTTATCATTATAGTATGTGTTTCGAAAAATAGTGTACCTTCAATACATCTTTTTCACTAAACCGATTCGCGGCTGCCTTTTACTCCAGATTTTACGATTTTTCAACCAACTGGCATCTTTCTACAAAAACACCGACAGCACTTGTCTCATCAAATCTGGTCAGCAGCAACAGAAAATCTCATGTCCAATATTCATACATACGGTTAAAAAAATAGTAACTACTATTTCTTGCCCACACTCAAATCGTCTAAGACAAAATTTCCGTGGCGACTACAAAATTGCAAAAATGTATGTAATAATTCGTATTAAAATTCGTTCGTTAATAATGCCCGCAAATGTCAAACTATACGCTACGCCGCGTAATAAGATTCGTAGCAATTAAAAAGTGTCGAAGGTCTTTTTCAATAGATAATTTTGCGTTTTTCTAAATAGAAAAAAATTATATATATATATATATATATTTTCGATTAAGCCCGTTGCAACAACAGTGCCCTCTCGCGACAAACTCATCAGCTACCACCACCCTTCGACTCCAGCTGACTCACCACCAGTATAATAAACACGCAATAGTGCCGACATTATTTAACGAACAATCTCATTATACTGGCAAAATTAAACCCCAACATGATTACAGACCATCGTCCCCTAGGCAATCGAAGTTAATTCATAACACTTTCTCTTTAAAAAGTAACTATTAATATTAATTTCGTAGATTTGTTGTAATCCAATGTCATTATATGTTCGATTCATTTGCGAAAAATCAAGGTAGTGTCTAAATATTCATGATTATTAACAGATTAAAGTTTTTATTATCCAGATAAAAACAACGAGTTGTGATTTCAGTTTCTTGGTCAAATGTATTTTAGCCCCTTATCGTCTTGAATATATATTTTTGTCATCAAATAAGTACATAACGGTAATTACTGGTATAGTAATAGGTAATTTACAGCTCGTCTATGAGCTTTGAGCAATTCAACATCTGATCAGATGTCGCTAGTCCATAACACTTGTAAAGCTAACAGCGGACTAACTTGGAGAGCTGGTTTATCTAATTGAAAAAATTTAGTTTATGCGTATACAACCACTGAATGACGAGCGAACCTTTTTATAGCCGGCAAAAAATGCGATACTCAATAATATAACTGCAGCGATGGCTGGGAGAAATGTGTGCGATGTAACACATAGAGACATTCTCTTTCGAAGCTTTTGCCGTTAGGTTCCAGAGGTCAAGAACACGCATAATCTATCAACGACTTGGTTCAAGCCTTCTTGAAAGTGAATATAAACATCTAAGACCTTAAATAAATTTCTTGTTCAAATATCACCAATATAATGTCAACTTCAATAGACAACTAGATGTACTAAATTCAGTATTAGTCTGCGTTGTTCGTTATGTCAACAACTCACTATCAAAGAGAAAATTATGTCAAGTTTAAACTAAATATTTAACTATATAAAAATTATTCTTGCTGAAAATAGAAACTTTACTTGACTGTTTATGTGACCAAACCAATGTTATTATTTATATGTAACACATACTTCGTAACTATTTAATAAACCTGTTGTTTAATACTCAATATAAATATTAACCCACTTTCCAAGTACAAGATTATTTATCCTAACATTAGTGTAAAAAATTTCTTCAACAAATGCAGTTATTATCCAATTTACAACCCTCATACCTTGTGTAAACATCAAAGCTTTGCAACAAACCTACTTCTTATCACCTTTATACAACTCAATCTTCTCCCTAATTTTTTCCTTTACTTCTGTCCCATTTTCATAAAAAGTATACACCTTACTTTTTGCTTTACTATACCCTTGCTCAGCTGCTCTTTCATAGAATTCAAGTGCCTTTTTAATACTTGCTTCTACCCCAACACCATTTTCATAATAAAGACCAAGCATATATTGTGCATAAACATTTCCAGCATTAACTCCTACTTGACATAAATTAATTACATGCTTAATGTCAATTACAGTTCCTGTCACTCTGCTATAATGCCTACTATTTTTGACTTGTATTGACATATGTGCCTGTTTTACTGCACTCTGATACAACTCATCTGCTTTTTGTTTATCCTTTTCTACTCCAGTTCCATAATCATAACATGTAGCAAGATGAAATTGTGCAGCATATTCCTGTTCAGATGCTTTTTCATACCATTCAACTGCTTTTTGTTCATCCTTTTCTACTCCAGTTCCACTTTCATAACACCAACCAAGCTTACATTGAGCATGGGCATATCCCTGTTCAGCTGCTTTTTCATACCATTTAACTGCTTTTTGTTCATCCTTTTCTACTCCAGTTCCATTCTCATAACATATGCCAAGAATATATTGAGCATGGGCATTTCCTTGTTCAGCTGCTTTTTCATACCATTCAACTGATTTTTGTTCATCTTTTTCTATTCCAGTTCCATGTTTATAACACAGACCAAGGTTATATTGAGCACTGGCATGCCCTTCTTCAGCTGCTTTTTCATACCATTCAACTGCTTTTTGTTCATCTTTCTCTACTCCAGCTCCATTGTTATAACACCAACCAAGATTATACTGTGCTTGAACATGTCCTTGTTCAGCAGCTTTTTTATACCATTCAACTGCTTTTTGTTTATCCTTTTCTACTCCAGTTCCATTATTATAACATAAAGCAAGATTATATTGAGCACTGGCATATCCTTGTTCAGCTGCTTTTTCATACCATTCAACTGCTTTTTGTTCATCTTTTTCTATTCCAGCTCCATTGTTATAACATATACCAAGGTTATATATATATTGAGCATTGGCATGCCCTTGTTCAGCTGCTCTGTGGCATAATAATAATAATAATAATAACACATGTTGATTCTCGCTCTCCATTTTCGTATAAGCAGTATAAAGATACTAGTATTATGTATTAGTATATCGAAATCACTACCACTAAAACTTTTACCCAATATACTAGATATAATATATTATAATAATATGTCAGTTCCAATTCGACTAGGAAAAGCATCAAAGATGTAGTGTAACGTGAAGTTGATTAATTATGTGTAACAAATTAGGAGAATGTTACATACGTAGAGCCGCAATAATGGCAAAAAACATACCACCCCACGTCCCATTCTTTTAGCAGGTGTAGACAATAAAGAACGCAAACCTTCACGTCCTATTTTTACAAAATGGGAACTGCCTCGATGTATGGTAATTTACTTTAACTCTTTTTCTGTTACTGCTACGTGCAAATGTTTATGCTCACACCGGCGAACATTAAAAGTATTTGAGAAGTTCAACACTGCAATAATTTTTCACAAATGAACCTAAATCAGGAGAGACAAATATCACCGTGAGCTCTTTATTTGCGAATAAAATGTATTTGTGGGGGAAACTATTTGAAAGTTCGTTACCGAGTTGTTGCGAATAGTTTTTGGCATGTCAAAAGCGTTACGTTCTGATCACTGACAACTGAACTAAAACGTATGTGCTAAATATTGACTAAACAGGCAGTAATTATGTCAACGAGGTATGGGTCAATTACTGCAGACGAGGGAAGATGAATTTACCATCACTAAACAATCAATCTTGTTTGGTTAATAGAGGGCGTTCCAATACGTATGCATCGATAATACTAAACCAAAAAACTTTTTTCTCAGACGAAAGCAGAACAGAAGTGAGTAGTTACATCTATAATAGCCAAATAATTTAACGTATTATTATTTACTGAAGATTAATGCTAACTACAGATTTAACACGGCAATGTCCAATGTTGGCACATACGTAGTTGTTGTTAAAACCTTACGTTATTATCACACACATTTTCTTCCTTCGGTGGTGCGTTACAAAAACTTTTCAATAATTAATTAATTAGTTCACTAAAAATTGCGTTAACACAATATGTAATTTATTTATGTTATGTTACATCTTCGGTTATTAGTTTTCGCCCATGGGTTACGTCCAAACGTATTGTTGTATTGCTCGACGTACTCGTGAAAAATTTTATCAGTCATCCCGGTTATTCCTTTACACTCGCAAACAATCAAATACTTCATCTACGGATTCAGCAACATTATCAGGTAATTTATTATCTCAGGTTGTAATATAACAAAACCGCCTGGACACAATGGAACTACTTTCTACGGAATATGTAATAGAAAATACATGGTTAATAAAATTGGGTGAAAAGAAAGATAGTACCGCTACTACGGTTACCGCCACATCCACACTGTCTCCACGGAAGACTCTTCCCAAGAGCGTTCGAGATATTCAAGATGCATCAAGAATTACCCAATTGCATAATAATAACACATTATTCAACAACGGGCAAAAGTTTTAAATTTACCTGTTGAACGTGTTGATTAATTGTGCGGAGTTTTGAGTATACAGTCAACTCTCTCTATACCGGCCTTGTTTATACCGGTCTCGCTTTATACCGGGCTAATTTTGCCGCACCAAAAA